GGAACTATTATTTGCACTATCCATTATTTACTGCGTGTAAGGGAGCAAACGGATTGACAGCCGAGAGCTCCCTAAATAGCCGCAACCTTTCTTGGCCCCACAACTCACCATGGAAGTCGGCACTTGGGCCGAAGCCCTTTGAGGCGCACTACGCCACAACACCATTTAGCCACCCTGCGCTAGCGCAGGGGCCCAGGAGCACCACGAGGAGGTAGGTGTGTGACTTGGACTTGAGAGGCTATGTATTCGCATCAAGTCCCATACTGTTCTCATCTCCAGGCCGAACCCACCCCGACCCCGGAACCAAAGACGCCCGAAGGAATCAAGGATCCGAGAGAGAGGGACGACCCACAACGCCGGGCAGACCGAAGTCCGCCGCAGCGCAACAACTTAAGAGAGTCATAGTTACTCCCTTAAGAGAGTCATAGTTACTCCTTAACAGGTCGTTCTTCGGGTACCTCCTCGACTTGTGCAGGAGTTGGCCCTTGCGGCCAATATTGCGATGGCTATAATAACCATTCAGGACCACTCCACCACGACCGCCGCTCTGAGAGTTGAATCGGAGCTAACTCTCGAGTGGCGAAATCGGCAGGATTCTTCCGTCCTGGTACGAGACCCCACTGAGCCTGCGGCAAAGACTCCCGTATATAACAGACCCGGTTATGGACAAAGTCTTTCCAACGGGATGGATGATTAGTGATCCAAGTATACGTGACGGTGGAGTCTGTCCACAAATAAACTGAAATGTTACTTCGTTCTAGGATCGGTAATAAATGCGTAACTAATTTAGTGAGGAGAGCTGCTCCCGCGAGTTCTAAGCGGGGTATAGTCATTCGTTTCAATGGTGCGACTTTGGTCTTTGAACAAATTAATTGAGTAGAAATGGCACCGTCATTGGATATCGACCGACTATAAACCGTTACAGCGTAAGCGTGGGGAGAAGCATCCGCAAATCCATGTATCTCAAAGGGTTGATCAGATCTCAAGCCTAGCCGTCGTGGAAGGTTGAGGGTAGACAAATCCTGTAAACCTTGGACAACCAAAATCCATTTATTTGCAGCAGGGGGAGGGAGAGGATCGTCCCATTCTAATCGCAAAGTCCAAATCTCTTGCATCATTATCTTAGCGCCTATTATAACAGGTGAAAGAAGTCCGAGTGGATCAAATAACTTGGCTATAGTAGACAAAACAACTCGTTTAGTAACATTCTTATTTAACGTGTGATGAAAATGAATTGAAAGGTATCGGGGTTAGGATGCCAAGATAAACCGATGGAGTGGACAATAAGATTCTCCTCAATTGGTATAGAGGAACGAGAAGTCTGGTCTCTCTCGGGAAGTGAGTTTAATACCTCAGGATCGTTCGTGATCCACTTTTGCAGTTGAAAACCGCCCGCCATGCAAAGCCGGTTCACTTGCTGTACGACAGCCCTTGCTTACTCTATGGAGTCTGCTCCTCCAAACAGATCATCCACATATCTACCGTGGGTGAGGATTGGGATTGCTAATGGAAACGTCGTTCCTTCATCATGTATTAATTGATTAACTGTACGAAGAGCCAGAAAGGGAGCGCAAGCCAGCCCATAGGTCACTGTCGTGAGTTCATAAGTTTTTATAAGATTCGCGTCATCCTTCCACAAAATGCGTTGATGCTTCCAGTCATCCGGATGTATTCTAACTTGTCGATACATCTTCTCTATATCAGAAGAAAAAACATAACGATATTGTCTGAACCAGATTAAGACATTGACTAAGTCGGTTTGTAATTTAGGACCGATGTGCAGCAGATCGTTTAACGAAAACCCTGAAGTAGTTTTGCTAGAACCATTAAACACCACGCGCAGTTTCGTAGTTAGGCTGGTTTCTCTAATGACTCCATGATGAGGTAGGTAGTAAGTATGAGACGGTTCCGGAACAGAGTCGTGCACTAATCGCATGTGATGCAATTCTGAGTATTCAGCGATGAAGCCAGAATACATTTTCGCGTAAGCGGGGTCCGATTCGAATCGTTTACTTAGCTTGTGAATAAGGTGAGTGGCCTTTCCTTTCGAATTTCCCAGTTTGCTGACGGGTTGCTTGAATGGTAGCTTAACGACATATCGGCCGCATGGTTCTCTCGAGTGAGTGTTCCGAAAATGATCTTCACATTGTTGCTCATCCGGAGTTAAAGAATGGTTGCATGAAGGAGGTACTTCTTCTATTTCCCAAAATCTGTGTAATATGAGATGCAAATCTTCGCCTGTAGTCATGTGATAATTGCGAGCGTTTTCAAAAGTCATCTGGTGGCCGGTTGGACCGGAGATAATCCATTCCAAGTGGGTTAATTGGGCTATAGGAGAATTTTGAGATTCCGTGATTAATCCTTCAGCAATAATAGATCCATAAACGTCCGCTCCCAAGACAAGGTCAATAGCACCGGGGCTTGAAAATTGTGAATCAGCCAACTGCAATCCTTCCAAATGCGGCCACAATGTTTGATCTACCTGTCCAGATGGAATGGATGAAGTAAGATTGATTAATATGTGTGCAGTAACGGTACACGTGAATTCTGATTGAAAATGCGGGCTGAGTTCAAAACCGACGCTGCCTCGTGTTCTATTAGCGGCTTTACCGCCTATTCCAACTAGTGAGATTTTTGAACGCTCTCGAGTCATTCTTAATCATTGAACTGTCCTCTCGGATACTAGTGAAATTTCCGAACCTTGGTCGATTAAAGCTCGTACTGTAGTAAAGTTGCCATTAGGAGCCGTCACTCGAACTTGAGCAGTAGCCAGTAATACTCGAATCGTAGGAGTTGTATAAGCCATGATGGAATGCATAACTTGTGCTTCTTCAGGTTATGGAGTGGTAGTAGGCTTAACAGGCTCGCTGATGTCCGCCTTAACCTTGGTAGAACTGATAGATCCAGAGTGAATTGAGGTATGATGCTTGCGTCCACACTTCAGACAACGCTTAGTAGTTAAACAGGCAGCAACTCGATGAGTTCCCAGACAATTAAAGCATAATTTGTGTTTATGAATGAGCGCCATCTTTTGTTGTACCGATTTCGTATTGTGGGCAAGCGGAAGTATGATGCTTGGCAGAACATAGAGAACAACTAAGTCCCTTATTAGAATCTCCTTGACCGGATTTTCCTTGATAGTGAGTTTTGGCGGATATCTGTTGAGGTTGATTCGAATTCTTTCCAAAACGGGATCTCTCAAATGCTTGAAGAGAGCGAAGTCGTGATACCAAGAATTCTGTAAATTGGGACCATGTAGGTGGTTCGGTGGCTGAGCCCAGATGGTGTTCCCAAGCCTTTACCGATTCCGAATCGAGGCGCTGAACTATAATAAATATAAGAAAATCATCCCATGTGTCAACAGGTCTTCGTAGATTCTCTAAAGATCGATGTATTTGCATGATACTTGTGTATAATCGTTCCAGTTCCATAGAGGACTCCTTTGACATGCGTTTAAGAGCAAGTAACGAATGTAAAGCTGCGTTTACAAGTAATCTCTTATTTTCATAGAAAGCAATCAACGCGTCCCACGTTTTGAGAAAGTTATGATCAGTAATTGCCATGTCCTTTAAGAGATGCGCAGCCGCGCCGACAAACTAGTCTTTAAATATTGCAGCTTCTCAACAGAAGAGATCGAAGGATTGACGATTACCAGAGAAGTGAACAGATCCTTAAAAGAGAGCCAATCGGCATGAGTGCCGTTGAATTTTGGCAGGTCGATGCGAGGTAATCTCGTCGGATGGTAGCATGATGGCTTGGTAGAAATGCAATTATCGGTATGGGCTGAAGACGACTTAAGTGAGGCTCCGTGATCTGCATCGAGCAACAACCTTATACGAAGTACAACCGTTCCGAAGTCTCTAAATAAAGTTCGCGTGTAGTAGCAAAGAAATTCTCAATAAAATAAGAATGGTTAAGAACTTGCAACCTATCGTCAGAACTAAGCTCCCGTATTGCTACCCCAATTGCGTCATGTGTAATGGAGAATTTCTCCCACTCTTCCTTGAGCGCGGTAAAGCGCGCTTGTATTCTTTGCGAATTCAGGTTAGTTGACCCGAGGTTAGATATCTTGTCGTATGCATCGGCAATCAGGTTGTTAAGCGCAAGTTGCTGCTCTAACCGAGCCTCCACATGTGCAAGTCTCATCCTGCCAATGCCAACAGATCCGGCTCGAAGGACCAAAATGTTCGATAGCTATTTATTCAAAAGAAGGCCAATGGTCTGACGACCAATTAGATGTGATTACAGACAAAAGAAATAATTGTAAACATAGAATGTTAAAACACAGGATAAAACGTGCACACAAAAACGAGCAAGATAAATAACATGACGAAATACAACTTATGTAATATAATACATATTGTCGCATATGAATATAGTGTAGGCACAAACAGTTATACCCGCTACGTTGAATATACGTGACAAATTTGGTAGTTGCTCTTTCAATTAAAGTAGTCACCTCTTTAATATTAATTTCAAGTAGTTTAGTTAGACGAAATACTCGGCAATTTGATCTCACATAACTATGAATTAATCTGATAAGCGATTCAAAATGAAATAGAAAGCGTATTTGTAAGATCATGTACAATGTTCTTAATCTTCTGTGGTTTCGAGTCAACAATATCTTAGAAAGTCTTGAGACTTACCGCAAGGAAGAACCTTAGCGTATTCTACACATACGATTACATAGTACAGATATTTATTTTTAGCGTTTCCTTATGAAATCACAAATGGATGCCAAATGACACGCGGCAATGGCGGCCGTCTTACGCTATTCGTACATTCTCTGGTTAGGTCCATTGCTGCTTCCTCTGTGAGAGTCCTCGAACCATCATGCCTTACCCTCGTTGAGAACTGATGCGGGCGACCCGGGCCTATCAAAAAGCATTTTTCGATCTAATAGTTAGAAGCCGGCAGCTCGGGCCTATTATCAGAAGTGCACCTTTCGATCTAATCGTTAGAAGCCGGCAGCTCGGGCCTATCAGAAATGCACCTTTCGATCTAATCGTTAGAAGCCGGCAGCTC